GGTTTTGTAATCATGTGCGTATGCAGTATTATATCGGTAATGACCAGGGCTTTGTATATGCATCAAGAAAATTGGTATAAGGTAAGTGGACGAGTTATACCGCTAGAAAACCCTTCAAAATCGAAGTCAGTTTCAGATTGCTCTGGCAATAATGGCTTGTCTGACACCGCTACTTTCGTGCTCAACAGCTTTGGCAATGATGTTTTTGTGCGGCATTCGATTCGCATCCATACTCTGCGTCATACCGTTCCTCGTCCTTTCTATAGGTAAATTTGTGGGACTTAAACTTGGTGAATGGTGTTTTCCCAGACAGGAATGGTACTGACTCCACTAAGCTTACAAAAAATTCTCTGAAAATTTCAAAAACTGGAAAAAGACGGGCCCGCTGTGACCAGAACTCTTGCCTGGCATCGAATCAAACTTGAAAGTTATGAACCAACCAGTGACTCCCCATCATTCTCAAGTTATCCTTATGAATGCGATTCCCTTCACAGCCTGGAATGCTCATCAGGGATGGGTTCCCTGAATCGTTTCTTGAGCACTGCTGCTTTTACGGGCTCATCCTTTCTCCTGTACAGAGCTTCAATAATTGTCTCTCCCTTTTGAAAGTTTGTGTCGGTAAAATCGATGGCTTTTTCAAGGTTCCCACCCATCGTGAATGGGGAGCCCATCCTGTTCAGCCATTTACTGTTACCGAAAAAAAACTAAATAATAAGGAAAATGTGTGAAATTCAAGGTGTCGACTCATCGTACTTGATGATTCACGAATGGCAACGAGTTACTGAGCATATGAGGGATACGCCCAGGAAAAAAGACAGCGTTGGACATCGAATGAGTGAGGTAGGCCAGGAACGTACCGCTTTACCCTTCATCAGCTATTCACGGAGCGCACCGGCGATTCCTCTCGAGGTCTCACCCTGTTTGAAAGCGGCGACGTCGAGGGGGACCATCAGTACAGAAATGGCTGAAAAAGATGCGAACTAGCTTCACTTATCCTCGAATCTATTTATAGGTCCTTTCCGAAGTTGGACCAGCAATTCTGATATCGTGTTTGACCAACGTTTTCGCTGACGCTGTTGGTTCGTTCACGTCATCACCGGAAATTACCCTGCTCTGTACTGGCAACATGCTGTCCATGTGTGTTGCCTTCGTCTACCAGGTAATAACTAGCTTCCTTACTCATCCAGTACTGTAAAGCAAGAGTTTAGAAGAGACCAGACTGTTACGTTAGTGCCACCATTACTCTTTCACTTTCAATGACTTCCTATCACCACGTATCGTATATTATTACTTATTATCTTCTCACCTTCCACCGCCTGCTCAATAGGTGGGGGGGGGGGTCCATTTTTACGAACTCTAAGTATGTTGATGGTGTTTGGGGGTCACAAATCGTTGAAAACGGGTTATTCCCAATTTTTATTTGTAGAAATGTTAGACCGGGTGATTCGCTTTCCTTCCACTTTTCCGTCCCATGCTGGAGTCTTTTAACAGCTATGTTGCTATTTAGATGACATTCTACGCCGGCTTGATGACCCTTGTGGGGAGGCGTGAAATTGGTGAAGATAACGAGGAAAAGAACAGAACGGCGATAAGCATCGCCGAAAATCGCGTGAACATTGCCAAGCATCACCGGACGCTTACGGTAAGCCTAAGTTTAACAAACAGTTCCAGAACTAAGATCTGCAACATTGATAAGCAGTTGGGCGTAGGCAATTGCTAGTCGGGTCTCTGATGTTGAAAAAAGCGATTGTGGCATTGCAAGCGTATCTGATCAGCAAATAAGAACCCTGACAGCAATTGAAGTCTTCAAAGCACTGGGGACCCCCGGAGTGGAAGCGCATTTCCCGAGACCTTCCCTAACCCTGAACATTATCGCCTGGCCTATCAAAGGGAGGGACACGCCAATAAAGAGCTAGCAACCAGTAAATCCATCAATGAACCTACATGTATGACTGTTTTGAGAACTTAACATTCGCCTGCCCTCAGTTGGGGAATTGTCAAAATGAAGGCAAAGACGGTGCCTTTGTTGATACGGAACTGTTCGCTGTATAGACCTGAGTAGGGGCCACAGGAGCAATTATCCAAAAAGCTTCGAAAAATATTTTAAAAAGAGTGAAATCAACTAAAAAATTACGGAACTTTTTTCAACTGAAATTTGATCAGAAGAAAATTTTCGGGTGATTTCAGCTTTTTTGTTTTTTTGGGCCACTCTTTGTCAGTCCGGCGTACCACTTGCGTTCATAGTAAACGTGCGCTGCTGAGTAGAGGCGCTGAACTCTTAACGTAGCGAGCGGCACATTTGATGGCAAATGTTGCGTGAAATGCATCCTACGCTGACTCTCTCTTTCTCTGTCGCACAAAGGCGCCGCACGCGACGCGCGGAAATTTCGCGTCTAGTTCAATGTTACATTTTGTTACATGTGTAACTGTAGCCTAACCAATTGTGAATAATTAAGTGAATGTTGAAATGGAAATTCTAGCGCCAACCATCGAAATTCCACGAGGCCACCAAGCCAGTAATAAGTAAATTCATGAAGGAATACGTCGAAATAATGACAACTCCAGCAGTCTACGTTGGAATTTTCATCTTCTACCTCACCTATCTATTTTTGAGTATCTATGTAAGTTCCGATATCGATTATTATTTGATTGATATTGATTTTTAAAATTATCTTTTTCAGGGTATTACCAGAATCAATATTAGACTGACTGCAACGAAACTCTTCGCTACAGATTCGCCTCTGTTGGAGGTGATTCCAGATCTCTCAAACAAAACACTATCGTTCAGTTCCATCTTGTGGTCCAACGCAGTGGGAAGGGTGCTAAAAAATTGTGAACTTCCCGGCGAATCCCGATTTGTCCAATTGAATTTTTGGGTCCCTCTCACCCCCTCAAATCGAATGTCTGGTCAATTGGTAAAAAATTGTAAAGCTGATAACTCTCAGCTGCTTGTGGGCTGAGATTCGCAGGTCATCGTATGGGCGTAATACCCATAAGGTGGTGGGGGAAAACTTTAGATGAGTGCCTTTGGGTGTTGGGCTTGGTTAACAATAGCCAGAAAGTGGTCCACCAATTGATTAATATTGAAACCACTTTATATCCACCCAAGGAAATACCCTTTCATTCGCTTGCCGCTCCAATTCATTCCACCCAGACCACAGCACCCTCTGTCCCCCCCTCTGGAGCCCTGGATTTTTCATTTCTCGATGTTTATATTTATTTCATAAGAACAGTTGTTGAAATGGGTTTTTCAGCTCGATGAATATCGTATCACTTACCAAGTGCCCGTCTACTCAATGGCTACTGTATTCGTTGAGAATCCTGGTAATCTGTCCGATCCGCAACGGTTACGTCGAATCAACGAGTAAGTCAGCATTTACGGCTACTGTGGAGAAGAAAGCTTAATAGTGACGTAAGGAAGTTTTTCTTTTCCTAGCAGCGTTACAATTTCCTGGGACTGGGAAAAGGGGTGCTTATTGAGTGCAGAAAGGCAATGGCCATGATTCAGCCTCCCCACACCCACTTACTGGAAAGAATGAGGAAAATACAACGTTGAAGGTCCCATTGATAACAGCCCCAGCCCTTCCGCCCGATCTTAAATTACGGTATTGCTTATAATCACAGTGAAGGGTGAAGGTTACCCCATCCCTAACTTTCGGGATACGCCCCGCATTCGATTTCCCATCGGAATTGTGCAGCGGCTTGCATACAGCACACATGTGTGGCCTACGCAGTGATTCTCAATGGTCATATGTATGTGCCAGCGCTTTTATCTCCCATGACAGGTTAATGTCAATTATTTGCCCATGGAGAGCTGGAAGGCTTACTTGGCCTGGACGAGTCGATCGTGGTTTCGATCATCCGGGTGGTAGTGCCATCCATTCCCACCAAATCAGGCCCGCTCTCATAATTACAGTAGGAGTTAGAAATGCAAATTGTCGACGTGACCAGTCACATCATCGCTCAGACGGGTTAATAACTGGTAATTTTGAGACTTCTATGAACTACAAAGTGACCTAGAAGGTCATGAGTTTTTCTATATTCGCCGTTCATTGCCACAGATTCGACGAGTGCAAAGGCTAAGGGACCAGGAACTAGGGGCGTATCAGAAGACAAATTGTATGTTGCAGATTTGTGGAATCTATGGAGCGGCTGAATGAATCTTGGGGAAAGAATTGGGGGCCGGTTGGAACGAAATTCTTCCTGAGAGATTATGCAACCTTCCAAGAAAGTAAGTTCCTAGGTTCGGGTTCTATCATATTTGATACGGTATTATTAAACTTTCAGCTTTTGCCGACGATAATGATGAAGACTTCATTGAACCGGACGAGGAAACAGACCTAACAACGACTACTGCCGCCACTATAGAGGTTTATTATTTCTCCCATGGAACTCTCATGGAATCTCTCCTTTAAATTTGTGTCGATGGAATACCATTTACTTAGTAGATCTCCCGATTTATTTAGTATACGGTAGGCGTGGGATATGCCGAAAACTGATGCGTGCGGTTGCGGGGCGGCAAGATTTCAAAACAAGTAGAAGGCATCAATTAGAACCTATTGAAATGAGACGAATATTTGACATTGAAGCCCTTATTAGCGGTTCCGGGCACATTTCATCCCAATGCTGCACAGCCTTCAGCAAGAAGGTCGAGGGTAAACGTTGACCTGTTCAACCAATTGCGATATCTGGGAGTTTCCGGGGAATCCCTGGGCAATGTGGATTACTGTGATATTCTCGGCATACTATATGTAGCATACTTTCCGAACATATAGTAGAATGGTTGCATAGACTTTTTCAGAACATGGGAATGAACTAAGCATGCTCTAAACAGCTCCGGCCCTAAAAGCGATTGACAAATTTAGGCTCCTTAGCGTCTATTACCCGTAAGAGTAGAAAAGTAGTAGAATTCTGAGCCAGCTGTCAAATGGTCACATCTTCTGCTGTATAAGAACGCACATTTTTATATTTCTTGTGATTGAATATCGCATAATATTCGGCATGCTCCTGAAGCTTCCCACTTTAGGTATCACGATTCAATGAGGATGAGTTGAAGTACTTTTTGAAATGGCCTGAATACGATTTTTGGTCTGGATTTGTGAAACTGAGGAACGGGTCCGAACCAGGGTGAGTTCGTTCCCAAAGGGACGGAAAGTCTTCATATCTTAGTCATACGCTGACTCTTTTTTTCTTTTTAGAGAAGAGCATTTGGATCGCTTCTTTTACACTACTGGTTTTCATGGAGAAAAACTGTCGGATTGGAATGAGCGTGGAAGGATGCTGCGATCATGGCGAAAAGTCGTCGATAATTACACGTTAGTCGGATTTGATTGATTTGAAGGTTACCGATCGGAAGAACTTTCATAAGCTTTTCAGGGTAGAACTGTTGATTTGGGAGTTTGATCTTAATGTGGGAGCTGGCCTTGCACCAGGCCACGGTTTCTACCGGTTTTATCCTGCACCGTGGAATTTTCCAATTGTCTCTCGGTCTGTGAAATAACCCGAGGACACCAATCGGCTGACAGTCTTTCCTAATACTGTACTGTTGCGGTGCTTACTTCTTCTCCGTTCCCTCACCTCATCTACCCCATGAAGTCGTTCTAGAATAAAATGAGGACTTCTTAATTATGGCCACGTGTTTTTTGTCCATTATTCTTCCCAGCATAACTGGTCTTTGCATAGAATGAGGCTATTGGAATTGAAGAACCATATCATGGGTTGCAATATCGCTTCAGGACAAAGATGGTGGCATATACGTAGTCCCGGAGTCCTAGAAATGAAATCCAGTAGATATTTTGAATCTAGTTGTTTGATGAGTATTTATAGCTGGCGAAATAATCAGGAAACTATCGTTTTGCTTTTAATTCCGTTTCTAAGACAATCTGCAAGAGGTTTTTCGAGATCTCCAGGCTGCTTTCAACACATTCTTTTCCCTTTTGATAATAATGTGGAAACCCAGTCTTTTCCCCGGTTCAGTACAGTAGACCAGTACACCATGGGC